CCTCCAGCACCATCAGGTTCTTTTCCAGCAGGAGCCAAACTTGTTTGTGCTCATACGATTTTTGTTGGCTACATGCGAGATACCTTGCAATAGAGAATGCTGTATAGTACCTATAACGCGTTTCAGCCGGGCGAGATATTATGTTTGGTCCGTTACACACACACACACACACACACACACACACACGGACATGGGCAATCCTACAGGTCGGGGCCCCCCTGGGCGCTTCGCGCTGGGGCCCCGCCCAAAAAGGCAGCAAGCAATCTGTCAGGCAAGGCACGCCAACCACGATCACAACCGTCATCCATCGCGATCTTGTTCATTGGGGCCTTCTTGCCCTTGTACGCGTAAAAAGCGCAAAAATTCCTTTGTCTGCTTTTACTTCATATTTTTGCTTATTTGTTTTCTTGTTTCTGTTTGCATTATTTGTTGTTGTTGTTTTTACGTTTTTCTGCTTACAGCTACGAGTCAGTGTTTGTGGCCGCCAGCCGGCGAGTTTCGGAGCTGGGCAAGATCATCAAATTGGATCTCATCGCGGATCTGCCAATGGACGAGCGCAACAGGTATCCGTACAGCCGTACAACTACATAGGGCTGCGTGCCTGTATATGAGCAGATGCAAGGCACGGCATCGGGGTTTTTGTTGTGACGCGGTCTTTTCGTCTTCAAATAACCCGAAATCTCTTCGTCCCCTCCCTCCCTCACCCCCTCATCCCCCTCACCCGCCCACAGGTACTACGGCAGCACCTGGCGGCGAGACACGGGCGGCTGTCCGGGGGGGTTCTTCATGGACAGCTCCGTACACTTCGTGGCGGCTCTGCGGCTGCTGGCGCGGGCGGCGGGGCTGGGGGAGGCCGTCAGCGCGACTGCACATGCGCGACAGGTGATAGTGGTGGAGGTGGAGGTAGGGGTGTTTCCTCCGCTGCTACTGCCTTACCACCCCCCTTCCTATCGCTTCGTGATGACATGACGCAGAGCTCCAGCGGCCATAGCTTGACGTGCCGTACTGCTGCATGCACTCCGGCCAGGGAGTGCCTGTGTCTGTCTGTCTGTCTGTCTGTGTCTCTATCTTGCGTGCGCGCATGTGCATGTGTACGCGTCTGTGCTTGTGGGAGCGCGAGAGGGCGATGAGGTCACTCCGCTCAGCTGGTTCTTAGGGTTTTCTTGGCGCGGCACACCTCCGTACCGTACGGCTCACATGTGAGCGCTGCTGGTTGCTTATTCCCCCCTGACCGCCCGCGCAGGCCAAGGCTGACCTGGTCCCCCCCGACACGGTGGTTGGTGTGGCGCTGTTCGCCACCGGGGAGGTGCCCGCCAGCATCAGCATCTCGCTGGCTGCACATCAGGTGGTGGACATTGCTGGTGGGGGTGGGGGGAAAAGAGCAAAAGAAGGGGGGGAAGGGGGGAGAGAGAGAAAATGGGGGGATTGAGGGAGGATCCCTCATCCTTTGGGTGAGGGGGGTGTTGAGAAAGGGGCGGGGGGGGGGAAAGGTCGCCAAACCCAGACCGGGGTTGGGTGGGGTGCTTCCGCGTCCCGGGCCGCAGTGTGATGTACGGCAATTGTGAGCACCCCCTCCCCTCCAAAACCCCCAAACCCGCCTCCCCCGAAGTTCCAATCCGCACTGAGCCGTTCCATGCACCCGCCCTGCCCGGCCCGGGTACAGGTCCGCTGGTCGCTCAGCGTCGTGGGCACGGAGGGGTCCCTGGAGGTGTCTCGGGGCGGCTGGGGGGGCAGTCGTACGGGATACACGCTGTCGGTCAAGACCGCTCGTCCGGCACCGGGGTCCCAGGAGGAGGAGGCGGCGGCGGGACAGCAGCAGCAGCAGCAGCAGGTGTGGCCGGGTGGGGGAGGCGGCGACTGTGCGACTGTGTTTCGGGGGAGGTGGAAGCGGGAAGGGGGGAGGGGAAAGGGGGGGGGAGAGAGAGGAAAGACAACACCTCTTTTGCTTAGGAGACCTCCATCTTGAAGCTCTTCCTCTTCCGAATGCGGCTTCCGAATATGCGAATGTGAGTGGGCTCTCCCCTCCCCCCCCCCAAGGGCAAGTCTCTGTTATGATGTGTGAACTACCCTCTCTCTCTCTTACACACACATAAGCACACAAACACTGTGCAAAAGAGCTATTGGGACATTAATCTCAAACTCGGAAGGTAAATGTCTTCGCCACTCATTTCCTTGCGTGGATGCTCCCCCAGGCCGATCCTACCGTACAGATTATGCCGTACGCCTTCTCCGGCTGCCAAGACGAATTTTCGGAGTTTGTGGGCCTTACGCGGGAGTTGCGGGGGGCCGGAGGTGGTGGGGGTACGGCGGCTGCGGCGGCTTCAGGGGAACCGAACGGGGTCGGCGCCAGCGGGACTGTGCCTGATGCGGTCGCCCGATCGAGCCCTGAGGAGGGCGCTCGTGATCTGGCGCTCATCGAGGCTTTGTTAGCTTCCGCTGCGGCGGGAGGCCGGCCGGTGGAGGTGGTGCAGATCTGAGTGGAGGGAGGGGGAAACGCTGCGGAGAAGGGGGGGCCTTGGGGGGTGGGAGGTACGTTGCGACGGGAAGGGGGGAGGTGGACAGAGGATTATGGGGGGCTCAGGCTGGTGCTGGAGTTGCTGGGCTGGCGCTTCTGCTGACCATGTCGCGGGTGGCGGGCTGTTGGAGGGCTGTTGTTTTGGGAGTGATAACTACCATGGGGGCCGATATGTGTGTATAATCGTGTATGTATGATGTGTGAAACAGGGGGGTGTATCTTCGCCCGTGGCAGCTACCCTGCGAAACCCTGCCTTCCCCGGTATTTCGGGGCACCCTCATCCAGTCACCCTAGTCAACTTCTCAGTGGATTGCTCAGGTTCCGCACCCACCACCAGCATCCAACGGAATCTGCCGGGTCGACAGCGGCCCAACTCCATTCCTGGTCGGCTCGCAGGTTAACTTTATCCCAGGTCACCACCGTCCATCAACTGGGGGCGCAATGCCTTCCACCATCGGAAGGTCTTTTGACCCTAATGGGTACTGATCCCGGGATCTCCCGGGGGCAATTGTCGCGCCTTACCAGTAGTGCCAAACCTTAGTTTTTATATATGTATGTGTGTATGTAAGTATGTATGCATGTGTTTCTGTGTCACCGCTGGTCCAATGGACCCTCGGGATATGAAATCCCGCACGGGGGGGGGGAGGGAACGAGGCCACCGGAACCGGCACCGCAGCTGGCGGTTCTCGTCCTGATCTGAGTGGAGGTGCATACGCGAGAGGTGTATGTGTGTGTGCCAGGGGGGGAGAGTGCGAGGCGCTGCGGACGGATAGAGAGAGAGAGCATCAGTCGACCTGAAGCTCTGCTGATGGCTTATTAGCGTTGCGGTCGCGGTCACGGTTACGTTGGTCTTGGAAACGCTGTATGATGACCCGTGTGCGACTCATATAGAATTAAATCTTGGCAAAGTAAAAGCCGCGGAGCGGTTGCTGGATTCGGGATCCCCGCGGTTTCAAATTTCGGATCTCTGATGAAAACGACCGCTGGCTAAAAAAGGTTGACTTCCGCTTCAGGACCGATTGACAAGGCCTCCTAAATCTGCCCTTATCAAACATATATATAAAATCAGCATTTACAAGGCCCTACAGGTCAAGCTGAATCTGGGCGAGTTCACGTGTTCGAGTACAAGATTACTGGTGATCGTGGTGGTGGCGATGATGGTGGTAACAGCTTCGCCTTGGCCAAGGGACCTGGAGGCCGATAGATACCGAAGGAGGATAAAGATTAGCGAAAAGCCAGTGGCTCTCCGCGAGCAGCGCCGCACCGCCGCCAGAGACTAGTAGAAGGGCTAGCTAGCCCTGACGACCCTGCAAAGGGCTCTAAAGATGCCTGAACCAGAGCGCGTGTGTGCTTGAGAAAAGAGTGGACACACGGAAGGTGTTCAGGGGTGAACGCGGCCCCGCTCACCACTTCGAAATGTCAGCTGGGGAGCAGAGCAGAGCAGAGGAGCAGCAGAGGAGCAGCAGCGGCGCAAGTGGACAGTGGAGCCCGAAATTTAATCCTTGATAGGCGGTTTACCCCCATCCCCCCCCCACACGCACACACACGCACACGCACACACAAGCCCCGCAAAACCCCCATCTCCTCTCACCCTTGGCGTCTGTGTACTTCCTCCTTCCGCCCCTTACCGCCATATCGCCACCGCCCCAGCACCAACATGAGTCACATCACCCACTCTCACACACATCATCCCCCTCATAGCTCTCTCTCTCTCCCTCTCTCTCTCTCACACACAAACACGCAGACAGACAGACGTGCGCGCGAGCTATACCCCTCCGGCCCAAACCACCTCCGCCCAATCCACCCCTCTCCACGCCAGGCCGTTCACCCCTCCGGCCCCTCACCCCCTCTAACCCAGCGTGGAGAAGAACCCCACGGAACCCAGGATCGTGAGGAACACCGCCAAGGCGGGGTACTCCAGGGGCTGCGCGCCCTCGTACCGCACGAACGCCGGCCGCGGCTGCTGGGCACCTTGCTGCTGCTGCTGCTGCTGCTGCTCGGCGGTAGCAGTCATGACTGCATGTGCTTCACTGCCGGCTGTAGCAGCTTGTGTTGCGGCTGCTGTCGCCGCTCCTACAGGGCCGGATCGACCCCCCACTTCTCCACTGTTCCCTATCTCACGGGCTCCACCATCTGATGCTGCTGCCGCCTCCACCACCTCCTCCTCCTCCACCTCCTCCATAACGACCTCCTCAACCACCAGCTCTTCCCCCTCCTCCACCTCCTTCCAACCCCTATCCCCACCGCACACCTGCCCCTGCACTTGCTGCTGCTGCTCCTCTTGTGCCGCTGAGGCCCCGTCCTTCCCCTCACCCTCGCCTTCTTCCTTACCATCACCACTACCATCGCCATCACCACCACCACCTCCGCCTCTGCTGCTGCTATTGCTGCTACTGCTTTTCCATGCCTTCTTGGCTACCCGTGTGGAGGTCGAGACCACCGTGTCGACCAGCATGTAGAGCACCACAGACCAGCACAGGAACTGGATGAGGAGGAGGAGGCGGGGGAGCAGGGGACCGAATCTGCGACCGCCGGAGGACCCCTCTGAATGCAGTTGGGGACGTTGAGGCGGGGGGGGAGGAGGGCGGGGGGGGGGGGGAACACAGCTGAACGGTGGGGTGACGAGGTGGTGTTGATGGGGAGGTGGAGGAGGTGGAGGTGGAGAAGGGCCCATGGGCGGGTGGGAGCGCGGGTGGTTGCTGGGCCGCAAGGGTTCCCCTTGCGAGGCCGACCGCAAAGCGAGGCCGATCCGTTAGAGATGGGGAGGGGGGAGGAATAGGGGGTTGGGAGGGCCTTTGGGGGGGAGGAGGTGGGGGAGGTGCGGGTATATGATATGGGGTGAAGGGTGCGGCGAAGGATATACGGAGGGCTTGTTACGGGGTGTTGCGGGCGATCCTCCTCCAGGGATTCCGCCGGCTCAGCCGCCGCCGCCACCTCTGCCGGGTTGACGGCCATGTACGATGTACTTACCCCAGCTATTTGCGCCGCCACCGCCGCCGCCGCGGCCACTACCGCCGCCGCCGCCACCACCTCCACGGCCCCGACCAGCGGACCGGGAGGAACTACTACCGCCGCCGCCGTCGCCGCCGGCACCTCCTAGCGGACCGCTGAACACCGTATCCAACAGACTATTTCTCCCGTACTGTGACGCACGTGCGGAAATATCAGCGGGATATCACGGTATGACGTCAGAGCATACGGCGCGTGGCGGCCGCCGTGTGATACTGCGTAGCGGCGTGTGATGTTGGCGCCACGCTTTTGTGTTTATGGGCCTTACGGCACCATTGCATGACGTGGTGACTCACCAGCCCACTGGGAGTACATTACGGTGCACGCCGCGGCTCGCAATGTGCAGTACAGTGCCCCAGTATGTAGCGCCGCCCACTCCTTACATACATACATACATTGGAGCTGTTGCTACCACTCCCCCCAGCGCACAGTAGCGGGTGCTACCAGGGTGCGTCCCGCTCAATCCCCCGTCTGGGAGGGCTGGGTGTGGCCATCTGAGCCCGTGAGGCCTGTCTGCTCCTTCCCGTCCCCGAGCATCCTCGGCTTGTGACGCACCTGGCTACCCGTACGAGGAGGGGGAATGACGAGGGAGGGTTGGACAAGCGGAGGGTCGTCCTTGCGGCCGCTTGTGCTGGCGGGCTCGCGCGGGGCGCCTTTGTTGCTGTTGGGAAATGCGCAACAGGGCCGCAGCGCCAGTCGAGGTACATGAAATACGCTGTCAGGCGGGCTTTCCTGGCTTTGCCAAAGTACTCGCCGTTGGCGTAGGCTGTGTTGCGCGACCATGTCAATAGAACAATAATAGGAGGAGGAGCAGCGGCCTCGTTTCGGGGCTGCAGGTGAGGGTGTCAGTTACGAGTTGCATCTGTCCGCAGAGAAATGGCAACGGACGAGTCTTTCAGAATTCAAGCACTTTCAGATTGGTTGTTGCAGTACTCCAACCGCAACCAAAGGCGCTTCCGTGTTCCGTCCGCATCGCCCATGCAATACTGACAAATGTTCTCGATTTGATTACGTTGATAGGGTCCTTCCTAGTAATATTCTTTGTGTATGCATTGGGATCAGCATGCAGCTGCTGCAGCTTGCCATTGTTATACACCTTACAGGATCCAGAGGCGTCGATGCTCATATACAGCAGATACTTTGAGGAACACATGACTTTCTTGCTTCCTTGTCCGAGTCGGAAAAATGAGCGGTGCCTCGCCAGCGCCAGCACCGCCCTCTGGGAACGGTTGCCACGCCACGGATGCATTCCTGACTCTCCGACAACACGCCCATGGAGGCTCAGTCGGCTTCACGGGCTTTCCCATGGTCGGCATCCTACCGCCTGCGCCGCCTGCGGAAGCCGCGCTGCTCCACAACCGGCTTGTTGCCATGGCGCAGAACGATATGCGCGCCCAGATGCGTCACATGCTCGATAGCCACGCACGCCTTAAGCTGGCAGCACTTCTCACCACGCAGCAGCTTAGCGCGCCCAGCAGCCTCGGTGCCGCGATGCTGGCCGCAGTTGACCGCACTCCCCCCCAAGCCTCCTGGGTTTCAGATCCATTCGGGAGCCTTCGGGAGCCTTTGGGAGGATCCATGAACTGCCAAGGGTCACAGACCGGCGCCGAATCCCTGCCCATACCGCCGCTGCCGCCGCTGCTACCCCCCCGGCCAGCGACCTGCGCACTCCAGCCTTCGCAACCCAGCTGCGGCCGAGTCGAAGCCAGCGATGAACCGCCAGCTTCGACCGCGTTACCTTCCAGCTTGCAGCCCATTGCCGCCGTGAATCTGGCCGTCGAGGCGCCATCGCGGCCTGCTCCACAGCTCCACGTGCTCCCGTCCCAGCTCGATTCCACTTCCCTGTTACAGCACCCGCCGCAGCATCACCCCCCACATCTTCCCCGGGCATCACCTTGGTCACTGCAGCCACTGGCGGGCACGGTGCCGCTGGCAAACCTGGCACTGGAGGCAGAGCAACTTCGTCACCTGGTAGCGGAGCGGCGGCAGCGCAAGGAGCAGGTCGCGGCGCGGCTGGCGGTGGCCAGGGCGGAAGCGGAGGCTGCGGAGCGGACGGCCGCAGCTGCGGAGCAGGCGGCCGCAGCGGCGAGACGGGAGCGCGACATGGCAGCAGCGGCGGCAGCAGCGGCAGCGGCCGCGGCCGCGGAGCGGACAGCCGCCGAACAGGCAGCGGCAGCGGCCGCAGCCGCAGCCGCACCAATTCAAGATGTCGCTTCGCAACCCCAGCAGCAGCAGCAGCGGCCGCAGCAGCGACCGCAGCAGCAGCAGCAGCGGATTCGGCCCGTGCATCTGGCCCGATTAGAGGCCTTGATGCTGCGGGCTCGAACGCTGATTGGGGAGTTGCTGAATGCCGCGGTGCCGCTGGGGCTGATGGAGCAACCGGAGGTGGGGGAGCTCCTCAGCGGATTGCGTAAGCTAGTGGATATAAGGCAGGAAGATAATTTGCAGGAGGTTGCTGCAACAGCAGCTACTGCTGGTGGTGCTGCTGCTCATGGAGCAGTCCGCGCTGCAGCCACGGCCGTCGAGGCTGAGGGGGGAGGTGTGCAGCTGGCGGCGCAAGGGGGCGCTGGAGGCAGCGACGGCGCAGTCCGCGGCGGTGGCGGCGGTGGCGCGTGGGCAGATGGCTTGCGGGGAGCAGCAGGAAGTGGGGAGGGGGAGGGTCAGGGGCTGGCGGCGCCGCCGTCGCCGCTGCTGCGGCAGCATCAGCATCAGCACCACCAACAACGTCAACTGGATGATGGTACAGATGGCATACGGGGGCCCGGCATCCTGTCGGAGCTTGCGACAGTGCAGCTTAGCGGCGGTGAGCCCGCAAATGGGGGAGGTAGTGACGACGGCGGAAGCGGACTGCTGCAGGCCGTGTGGCGTACGGCACCGGCCGGGGATGGCCGGGGGGGGCTGCTAGTAGCGGCGGAGACGCGGCAGGCTGGGATGGCCGGGCAACGGCTTGGAGAGGGGGAGGAGGGCGGGGCTGGAACTGACGGTGGTGGCGACGGTGACGCCATCGCATGTGGCGGCGCCATCATTGAAGGCGGCGGCGGCAGCATCGGCGGCGACGGCAGAAGTGCTGACGTGGCCATGCCCGATGTGGGTCAGTTGGTGGATGCGCTGGCGACGGCGGCAGCGGCGGCGGCGCCTGGGAGCCTGACCCGCGTGGCCTCCATCCTCGCAGCGGTACTGCGAGCGTTGGATGGCGCGGGGCGAGAGGGGGAGGGGGAAGAGGGACGGAATGATGATGATAATGATGATGATGATGATGATCATCCTTGCATGGCACAAGGCAATCGTCCTTCCGCAGCTGCCACTGCCACACCCGCTGCGGCTGCTACACAGGCCGTGACTAATGATCTGGTTGCTGGCCTGGGTGGCGGCGGCGGTGAGTGCATGTCCATGGGGCGACCTGGCATGGACGCGAGTGGCGAGGCGGGCGGGGGGGGGCATAGGAGTACCGAAGGCGCAATACACGGCCCCCTTGGCTCTGTTAGTCCTGCCGGCAGCGACGGCAGTGGTGGCGGGGCCGGCGGTCAGGGTGATGATGACGTCAGCGGCGGCGGCAGCGGCGGCGCTGTCGTACGGCTGGCCCAGGAGCGTCGTCTGGCTCAGTGGCGGGAGCTCCAGCGGCAGAAGTCCTTCGGCTGGCCAGGCTCGTACACAGGAGTCGCCGGCGAGGCGGCGGGAGCCGCAGCCCAGCCCTCAACTTCCTCACCCACGTCCGAACGAGCCGGGGAAGCCGCCGCTCCGCGTGCAGAGAGGAATACCACGCTCCCCGCCGTGGGCCCAGGCGCCGAGGCTGCGGCGGCGTCGGCGGCGGCGCTTCCAGCGGCGGCGGCAAGCGCACAGTCGCCGTCATCAGCGCTCGTAGTAACAGCTCATCACGCGGCGACGGAGGTGGCGGGCTCAACGGCTAACAACGCGGCGCAGTCGCTGCCGCCGGCGCCGGCGGCAGTCCAGACGTCCCCGCCTCAGCTCTCACTGCCTCAGGCCAGGAGGCACAAGTGGGGAGCGCCCGCATGCGTACGTCAGCTGCCGCCGGCGCCGGCACCCCACTCCCTGTCGCCACAGCCTGTCCCTCAGCCTCAGCAGCAGCAGCACTCCCAGGGGCAGCAGCCCCAGGTTCAAGGTGGGGGTCAGGTTGCTGCCGTAGTTGTTGCTGCAGCTGCGGATGTAGTTGGGGCTCGGACAGGTAGCGTGCAGCCGGTGCTGCTGGGGGGCAGCGGCGATGGCGGTGGTGCGGGTGCGGGTGCGGGTGAGGATGGGGGTGTCACTGCTGGAGGCTCCAGCCCGGGTGGCGGCGGTGTCAGTAGCGGCGGTGGCGGTGGCCCAGCCGGGCTAGACGGCTCTTCCACAGTTTCGGCGAGTGGGAGGGGGCCTCTGGACACATCACCTGCGGCTTCTCCGCAACCAGAGCAGCAGCAGCAAGGACAGCAGCAAGGACAGCCGCAAGAGCAGCAAGGACAGCCGCAAGAGCAGCAGCAGGGGCAGGGGGAGCGGTTGCGGTCCCAATCCGCAGTGGACCCCGACATCAGTCGCCCGCGGAGCAGTAGTAAAGATAATGCTGCACAACGAACTGCTGGTGACCGGCAGCTTGGAAGGCCTCGGGCGGATCGTGACGGCGGCGAAGGTGGCGGCGGCGGCGGCGGCAATGGCTGCACCTCGGCGGCGGCAGTGAAGGCGCATGTAGGCAGCGGCGGCGGTAGCGGCGGTGGAGGTGGCGGGGCAGCCGCACGACAGCGACGCAGCCGAAGCCGCTCACGCAGCCGACACCGAAGCCATACCACCAGTCGCAGCACCACCACCACCACCAGCAGCCGAAGCCGAAGTCGCACCAACGGCTGCAGGCGCAGTAGCAGTAGCAGTCGCAGCGGCAGCGCGACAACCACCAGCCGCAGTAGCACCAGTTGCCGAAGCCGAAGCCGAAGCCCCATTCGAGATGAGGCAGCCAGGCGACGTGGTTCTGTGGGCCCTAGGGGTGCAGCATCGCCGGCGGATGCCGCTGCCCGCGGCAGCGGTTCATGGCGCCGTGCGCCGGACAGGGATCGAGACCGGGACCTCCGTGAGAAGCAGCAACGGGAGAAGGAACGTGAACGGGAGAGGGAGAAGGAGAGAGCGCGTGAACGGGAGCGAGAACGAGAACGGGAACGTGAACGGGAGCGAGAACGGGAGTGGGAGTGGGAGAGGCAGCGGTTGCGGGAACGAGAACGAGAACGGGAACGGGAGAGGCAGCGGGAACGGGAACGAGAGCGGGAACGAGATCGAGATCGCGCCAGACCTTCGAATCGTGACAGGGAGCTCGGGGATTACCATCGGGGGGCCCGAGAAAGGGACCGGGAGCTCGGGAGCCGAAACGCCTACAGGAACGACCCACGGGACATGGTCCGCAAGGGCAGCGGCGAGGAGGGTCGTGCAGGCAGCGCCGAACGCCCGAATCGGCAGGGTGGCGCTGGCGGCACTGGCGGCACCGGCACCGGGCGCAGCGGGGATGGTGGCCGATCTGGGCCTCTCACACCGCGGCCAGAGCTGGAGAACAAGACACGGAACACCGGACCACCTGACCAGGAACGGCAGCAGCAGCACCACCAGCACCAGCCAGGAGGACCGGAGCCGACGAAGAAGAGTGATGCCAGCAACGCGAGGCAGTGGGCGAGTAGAGGCAGTACGGCAAGCCAAGGCGACGAGCTGGCATCGGGTGCCGCTGCTGTGAAGGGAGGAGAGGCCGCGGGAGCAGCAGCAGCGGCAGCGGCACGGGCGCCTCCTCCGCTGACCCATGGGCCTTGCGAGGGATCCGTCAGCGAGCTGGAGTCTGGGGAGGTCCAGGCGGGAAGCGCATCGTCATCATCATTATCACTATCATTATCATCATCATCGCAGTCGGACATGGAGGTGGATATGGAGGTGGACGCAACACCTCCGGAGCGCCTTGCGGCCGCCGCTGCCGCCGCCGGCGGGGCATCGCCCCCCACTGCTGCGGCGCCGGCGGGGGCCTTATTTGCGGTCAGATTAGTTGGAGGTGCCGTCACCGCCTCCTCTTCCGCCGCCGCCGCCGCTGCTGCCGCCGCCGCCGCGGCGGCTTCTGGTGCACTACAACGTCCAGTGACTGATGGTGTTCCGGTTTCCCCTTCGCCGCCACAGCCAGCATCAGCACAGCCGCCTCTCCCGAATTACCAACCGGCCCCGGTACGGCGATGGACAAGAGAGCAGCAACAGCAACGGCAGCGTCCGCCGGCTCACCAGACGCAGGGGGTCAAAGGCGCCCCTCCTCTCGCGCATGTTCCTGCATCGCATCAACAGGCGCAACAATTGCAGGTCGGAAATGAACCTCCGGCGCCGTCACCACGACATCCGCCATTACCGCCGACACAAGCGCCTCTAGCCGCAGCAGTGCAGCAGCAGCAGCAGCAGCAACCACCTCCCCTGCCTGTAGGCGACGCGTTGACAGGCGGCCAGCAACTCGAGGGTGTGCCTAGAACTCGACAGCAAGCTGGCGCCGAATCGGCCACCGACGGGCTCGCGCCACCGCCGCCGCCGCCGCCGCCACCTGCCCCACCGCCGCCGCTGCTGCAGCTGCCGCCACCAGCGCCACCACTGCAGCTGGTAACGCTGTCGTCATCCTGGTACGAGCCGCACCTACTACACATCGCACCGAACCCGACGCCCTTGCCAGTCTACCAGCAGCCACCGCAAACCCCCACTAATAACTGGAGCCAGCCGCCGCCTTATGCACTTCCGCCAGCTCCACCGCTGCACGGAGCGCCGCCGCCGCCCCATGGAGCGCAGCCGCCGCTGCCGCAAGGACCTCCACAGCATCCCCCCCCCGACGACGGCAACCCATCGGGCTATGCACACCACCCGGGTGTCCCGCCCGGGCTGGGGTCGCCAAAGAAGCTGGGACCGCACACCCTGGGGCCCCCGGCGGCGGCGGCGGCGGCGGCCCACCCCGTATCTCAGCCGCCGCCGCCGTTGGCAGTCGCAGTGGCGCCACCGCTGCCGCCGCTGCCTCCACCTAACCAAGTGTCGTCTCTGCCCCCGCCCTGCAGCCCGCGAACGTCCATGCCGCCGCCCTCTGCACTCCACTCCAGCTACAGCTATAGCCCGCAGCGGCGGCCGCCGTCGCCATCGCCGCTGTTCCACCAGCAGCTGCCGCCGGCGCCGACGCAAGACCTCGCTCTCGGTCTTCCGCCCCCGGGCCCTCTGCCCAGCTTTGACTCCTTCCTCCATCCTCACTCCTACCATCTGCAGCAGCAGCAGCACCACCACCACCACCATCAGCTGGGCCTGGAGGGACCTTCCAGAGCTTTCACTCCAAGGGGGGAGGGGGACCCTGGGCCGCATTTTTGTCTTGGCAGCCCGGAATGGCGGCAGCTGGTCGATACTGGGACAGCGGAGGTGGGCGGGTGTCAGCCTGGCGGCCTGCCCGCGCTCTCGCCAGGGTTCCACGACGCGCCCGCAGGGTCTCGGCCGATGCCTAGGGAGCCCCAGCCGCACCTGCCACTGTCGCTGCCACTGCTGCTGCCGTTGCCGCTGCCGCCCTCTTCCGCCGGTCTGCCACAACCTGAGCGTCACCATTACCCCCAACAGTACCTGCAGTTCCAGCAGCAACCCTGTTTCCAGCAGCCACAGCAGCAGCAGCAGCCACCGCAGCCACAGCAGCAGCCACCGCAGCCACAGCAGCAGCAGCAGCAGCCACGGCCGCAGCAGCAGCCACAGCAGCAGCCACAGCCACAGCAGCAGCCACAGCCACAGCAGCAGCCACCGCAGCAGCCACAGCAGCAGCCACCGCAGCAGCAACAGCAGCAAATGGCGCCACCGCTGTCATTTCAGGGGCAGCAGCAACCGCAGCATAGACTGTTGCTGCAGCTGCAGCTGCTGCCGCCGCCGTTACCAATCCTTCAGCCGCAACAACAGCAACAACAACAGCTTCAATATGCGCAGCAGCATCTCCAGCCACAGCCGCTACAGCTGTCACAGCCGCCGTGCGGGGGGGTGTTACACGGCCCATCAGGCGGCCGCAACGACGACGACGACGACGTGTCAGAACGGCCGGGGCAGCGGTGTCAAGGCCTCATCCCCGTAGAAATGCGGAGCCAGATACAGGCGGCCCCGAATCAGGCTCAGACTCAGGCGCTCAGCCAGCCCCAAACTCAAACTGAAATCCGAAACCATGGCCAGGCACAGCCCCAGGCCCCATCCGCCCGAGGGCCGGAGCGGGACTGTGGGGGGCGCCAAGGCCGCGCCCAGGGTTCGAGTCCGGACCGGGACATGGACCGCCGGGGCTGGGGGGCCCGAGGGGGTTCCGGAGCAGCGCGGGGCCGGGAGGGGGAGGGGGATGCAGAGCGGGACCGCGGTCGCCATCAAGGACGGGAGCGGGAGCGAGAGAGGGAGCGAGACAGGGAGCGAGACAGGGAGCGAGAGAGGGAGCGAGAACGAGAACGGGAAAGGGAAAGGGACCGGCAGCAGCAGCAGCAGCGCCGTAGGGAGAGTTCCCCTCAAAAGTCAAGGTCGACGCTTCAGCAGCAGCCGCAGCAGCTGCAGCTGCCTGACGCCAAGGGCGGAAGGAGTGATAGTCGAGGCGGTGGGCGGGTGGTGGACCGCAGTCGCCCTGCGGAACCTGACGAGTCGGCGGCCGCCCAGCTGCCATTGTCGTCGTCGCCGTCGCGGCTGCAGCGGCACGGATATGCGGTCCCTGAGGTAGGGACGCAGCGCCGGTCTCAACCATCCGCCACAGAACCGCGTGCGGGGGCCCAGAGCCAATCGGCTGTCCGCGAGCCCTCGGCCCCAACCGCCGCCGCCACTACAGCTGCCCCCGCATCAGCACCAGCACCAGCGCTGATGCCTGCTACTGCTGCTACAGCCGGTACGTCACACCCACCGGCGGTAATGCCGAGGTCAGGTGACCAAGCCCCTGAGCCAACTGCCCAAGCGGCAGCCGTTGCGATGCCCGCTGCAGCAGTAGCAGCAGAGGAAGCGGTAGCAGCAGAGGAAGCAGTAGCAGCAGCAGTAGCAGCGCCAGCTCCTACACCAAGTACAGAAGTACTAGGGACAGCGGCGGCGGCGGCAACGGCGGTATCCTTCCTGGGGGCCGGTCACGGCGCGGCGGCGGCGGCGGCGGCAGCGACGGCGGCGGCGGCGGCGTCTCCCGCGGTGGCCAGCGCCATCGCTGCCGCCGTTGCCGTTGCCGCGGCTCCGGATGCCAGCTGGCCAGCTACGGTGCAGATTCCACTGCCACCTCTGCCGCCGCAGCTTCTGGAAGCTGGTGGTGGTGCTGGTGCTGGTGGTGCTGCTCCACCGCCCCGCGAGACCAGGGTGTCGCAGCTGACAATTCCAGGGCCGCTGCCGGCGGCTGCCGATACAGCTGTGCTTCCGGCTTCATTGCCGCGGCGTCATCCAAATGACGCGGCGGCGGCGGCGGCGGCGGGGACGCTGTCGGTGGACGAGCCGGGGCGCGGAGTGACGTCGCCGATGGCGGTCGGGAACGGGGCTGTCGGGCGTCCGCTGGTAGCGGCAGCAGCAGCAGCAGCAGCAGCAGCTCCGGAAGGAGGAGAAGGAGGCGGAGGAGGAACTGGTGCAAGGGAGACGTCCGGCAACGAGCAAGGCGGCCGGCTCGGTGATGCGTCACCTGGGGGTAGGCGGCGGGTGGGCTTTGGGCTTTGGGAGGAGTGAGGTGGGGGCTTTCCGGGTTCCTGTGTGTGTATGTATGTGTGTGTATGCCGGCTATTGTGCTCCCTTCTCTTGCGCACATTCGTCCAGACGGCCGATCAGAATGTGGGCGAATAATTGGATGTTATGTCTTTTTTGTTTGTTTTTCTTGTTACTTAGGGTTTTAGGGTTTTCAATTGACGAGGGTTTTAAGTCCCGTGCCCAAGTTGTACGACCCTGCCTTGCCTGCGTCCACATGCCTCAAGTACAATAACATGTGCGGTACAGCGGACACCGTACTGCAACCGTACAGCAAGCACCCGAAGCCGCTGCTGCAAAGCAACTGATGCCGTACTGCTGTACCGCCGCAGCCGCCACAAAGCAATGGCGAGCCATTGCATCCGCCGACGCCTCGCGGCTCTTTCTGTCCCCCAGTGGCCGCAGGTTGGAGCACGGCCCCCTCAAAGCCCGGCACCGGAGCCACAACTGCTGCCACTGCTACCGCTACTGCTACTACCGCTACTGCTACTGCTATTGCTGCTACTGCTACTGCTTATGGAAACGGTGCTCACTCAGCTGAGGCTTCAATTGGGGAGGCTATCGGAGGATGCACCGCGGAGGGCCCGGGGGATAGGTCCGTCGTGCGGAACACCAGCAGCGGCAGCGGTGACGGCGCAGCAGGGCGGACAGTTCGGCCTCCTGGCAACCGTGAAAGCAGCGGCGGTGGCGGCGGCGATGGCGTTGCTGCTACTGCCGGCGGCGTGAGCAGTAGGAGCGGCGGCGGTGGCGGCGGCGGCGGCGGCGGCGGCGGCGAAGACGGCTGTGGAGGAGGAGACGAGGCAATCCGGGGTGAGGCTGCCGGGCATGTAATGGTTTCTATCAGTACGAAGGCCGGCGGTGCCGTACACCCCGGGATGCCGCCTCTCCGCTCCCGCCGTCAGCGACTCGAATGGTCCCCGCCTGCGCCGTCACCGCCATCCTCGCCGCCGCCGCAGGGCCCGGAGAACGTGAAGCCTGAGCTGCTGCTGCCGGCATCGGCGGCCGACAAGGCAACGAATGCCGTACGAGGGCAGTGTGGCGGCGGAGTGGCGGAGCGGGAAGCGCGGCTGTGGTTGGAAAAGGGCACTGGAGGACGGGGAGCCGCCAATCGCCCGGAGGCAGCGCGCAAGGCTGGAGGTGTGGTAGTGGAGGTAGCGGAGGCTGCACTGGCGGCGGACAGGAGGCGGACACGCGGGCGGCCCGTTCCGATTACCTTTGACCTGGCTCCGCTGACCGTGAAGGAGCCAGCCGCCGCCGCCGCCGCCCCCCGAGCTGCCGGGACCTCAGCGGGTACAACAACGGCACTGGAAACAGCACCGATGCTGTCGGCATCATTGAAAGCTCAGGAAGTGGCTGCGAAGGAACCGGGATCGAAAGCTGCGGCGGTGCCGGCATCAAAACGTGGGTCAAGTTCAGCGCCGAAAGCTGCAGCTAAAGTGGCGCTGTCGAAAGCTGCAACCAAGGCTGCGGCTGCGGCGGCGGTGGCGGCCCCGCAGCTGGCTTTGATGGCCATAGCGACGTCGCCCCCCACCGCCAGTGACGGCCCCCTGGAGCAGCCGCCAGATCGGGCTCCCGTTGCGGCGACTCACGGGGCCGGCGGTTCCGCGCTGGAGGCGGCTCCTCCCCCTCCTCAGGGGGGCTCTTTCAACCCATCCTGGATGGCCAGCAGCGCCAACACGCTACCGGCGGACCCGTGGGTCGGTATGGCGGCCCCGGCCGGCTTCGTTGGTTCTTTCGGTTTGGCGGGATCATGCCACGCGTTCCTCCCGCCGGCTTTCTTTCCGCCGTTCGGTGGCCTTGTCGGAGGCTTGGGTGGCGGCGTGGGGTTCTTCGACCCTATGCTGATGGCGGGGGCGCTGTGGCCTTCGCAGCTACAGCAGCTGCAGCAGCAGCAGGGGACCTGGACGTCAGCTGCGCCCGGCGCTGGCGGCACTGTTGCCGGCGCCGCCGGCGTCGGAGGCGGCGCCGGCGGGGCCGGTGGCGGCAGCGTCGACCAAGACCTCCCGCAGTCCGCTGCAGGTGCCCCCGCCAGCCGCGTCCATGCCGCTGATCCGAGGGAGGGTCCGGACGGAGGTGCCGAGGCCCCCGCGAAGGTGTCTCCCGCCGGCAGGAAGCGGCAGCGGCTGGGTAGCCTGGTGGTAGCGGCGGCCGGGGGTGGGGCGGGGCGGCAAGACCGCCGCACCGCCGACAGCCGTCAGCCGAACCCAATGCTTCCGTCAAAGAAAGCGCTTCGCGAAACGTCGTCAGCGGCGGCATCCGCTGCGGGAGCTTGCAGCAGCGGAGGCGGGTTGAATGCTTCAGCCGCGGACGGCGGTGTTGGGAAGGGCTCAGGTTCTAGTGGCGGCGGCGGCAGCGGCGGCGGCGAAGGTGCCCGATAAGTTCGTTGGTCCTGTTGCCAGGGGTGTGGGAGCCGAGACGGGGAATATTACTGGCCGCTGTAGCATTGCCTTGCCGTACGTGCAGCCGCTTCGTGGCGCCGCGAAAGCGGGAACGGGCCCGGGGGCGGGGCGGCGGTGGTTGCGATGACGCTGCGTGCGGTGGTGGATGCCGTACCAGGGAAGGTGGCATCAAGTGAGTTGTCATTCTGGCGGCCTGAGCGGCCTGGGCGGGGGCGGGGGGGGGCGGGAGCAGCTCAGGTAGGGGGCTGCTGTCTGGTTTGGGCAATACGTGCAGGGCAGGGCAGGGCAGGGCAGGTGTACGGTATTGCGGTGCTGTTGGCGGTGGTGGTTAGGAAACGGCGGTTGGTGATGGAGGCGCTTGTGATGACGGCGCAGGTGGTGGCTGCGAGAACTGACTTGCGCCTTGGCTTCTTGGACCCCGTAGATGGTCGACAGATAGCTAGGTAGCTAGGTAGGTAGATAGGTTCGTTTAGATAGGAGTTGTCATGCGCAATGCACTGTGTGTTGTTATGTCGCTCTCACAAGGTATACAGGTAGACAAACCGGCAGACGTATACACAGACATACAGACGGGCATACAAACAGACAAGCAGACAGACAGACCGGCAGGCAGGCGGACCAAAGGTAGTCTTAGGGCTTAGGACCACATTGTACGACATGGGAAGGGCTTGGCATCGTTCCGTCGTTTCAGCTGCCTCGGGGGAGATCTACGTACCTACTACATACATACATTCTGCTCCCAGTCGACCCAGTCGACCCGGGTTCAAATCCGCCTGCCGGCTCCTCGGGTGTTTGAGGAGTGATGAAATGGGAGGTGGCCCCCCATCATATGGACGGTGTAGGACGTGATAATATCAACTTGCGAGCTGACCAGGAACTAAGTTGATGCGCCGTTGATCCGCTAGATTTGGTTGGATGCTGGTGGTGAGTTGCCGAACCCAACGAATACATTCTGAAGTCGGATGGGGTGACGGATTAGGGTGCCCCTCTAGCAGGGGAGAGCAGGGACTGCCCCGGGAAAGGGGGCCGCTGGCGAAGTTAACCACCCTGTAACAACATACATACATACCCAGGGTATAGGGGCTGCGGTCTGGGAGTGGCGCGTGTGTGTATGTGTGGCCTGGCAAAAGGGATGGTCGTTGCTAGGGGCGATAGTACTGTATGTATGTAACGCGGAGAGATGCCGCTGGTGTGCTTTGGAGTTGGGGTTGCGGCCTTTGAAATCTGCCGCATGTGTCGCACCCGCACTACTACAGCTCAAACCCGTGTACGTTTTATCAAGCTTTATGTGGGTGCTTGTAAAATTGTAAACCTGTTTTTTTTTGTGTGGGTGCATGTGCACGAATGGCCTGGCACAGGCGTACGGAGGTTTCGGTGCTCTGCGGATAGAGCTTTCTCTTAACCTTAAAAAGAATCAGATTACAGAGCAGGGGCAACGCGCTAGATAGCGCCAAGCAAGGGCCCCCTCTCTCCGTTTACTACGACCTAACGGGGTTGTTCGGTTTCCACTTCGGATTAACGTTGCGGGTAAACCCTTTGTTCCAATCATGCATCGATGTGTAAAAAAACTGTTTCGCAAACGGCCAAGTTGTTGGCAAACTTACCTCGCCCTCGCAACCTCTGGTCCCCATATGGAGCGAAACTAGGTGGTGAGCTCCTAGCAAGGACTTCCGTGCCCTAATCCGTGACGATAATTCGAAGTGGAAACAACATTAAGTCTTTTGATGCGTGTCACAGTCATAAAAGGGTGCATCATTTGGACGACAGTAAGCTATTAGTCATGCTGTAACAAGCTGTGATAACCCTAAGCATTTAACCAAGGAAATGCCATTAACCTAGCTGCCTGAAATGTTTGGATGCTCCAATTAAAGTAAGATCGTAAGTTTTGTGTTCCATTGGCGGCGAAATCGAAATGTAGGTCAGATTTAAAACCCATGAAATGCTCGTTCTTACTGGTGGGCGGAAGACCGGCATCTACACGCAATTCCAATAGAAGCGACGAGCTTGCTGTCAAAATAAACGTGATACGGAAGCTATTCGCGTGTAATATACGTTCATATCACATAACCATATCGTATATTACGTAACCATATCGCACTATTTCCTGCCTTGTAACCGCACTAGGTTCGCTCGTGCAACGGAGGGATTCATTCCGTTTATCGGCGTAAGGTTCCAGGATTGTGGTTGCATTGCGGGCCTCCCAACTATACGCACATGTGCAATTGGCAACAGCTTTTTATTCCTTTATAATTAGGGAAAGCTGTTATACGACTTAGGGTTTTAAAATGCCAGTGAATTCCGGTAAAGTATCAGCCCTAGTAAACTCAGGCCCTTGCTGCATCTGCCGCACTAGACCGCATTCCCGGGCGGGCGGACGGGGAGCTAATTTCTCCGTCTCGTCTGCCGCCTTGCGCACTGCCTTCCTGCATCTTAAGGAGGCAGGTACGTCCCGACTGCCGTCGCCCACTCGAGCGCGCGGCTCAGCCTGACTGGGACAGGGGGGCAGCAGCAGCAGCAGCAACAGCCAGGAGCTGCAGCACCACGGACGTTCAATTTAATGCTCCATGCATGCCCGCATATTACCTACCTACCTACCCACCCACCTACGTGTACGTAAAAGCGCCTGCAGGTACAAAAGCTTATCAAGAAGCTCTCACCTGGCGAGACAACCACACGGGCCAGCCGACCCACCTCGCGTAGGCCATGAAAACACTGATGGTCAAGCGGAAGTTGCAAGCCATACATGGACAGTTACATGACCCCACAACACATGTGCCCCCCCAACATAACACCAAATCTTCCCCACCCGCAAGCTCTCGCCCATCAGCACTTGATCAAGCAGCGAGCCCACAAAGCGGAGGCCCCTCTCCTTCCCGAGACGTCCGAATACAGCCTTAGGCCGCCAACAACACCAACCCCTATACGCAACGCCTACAGTAGAAAACCAACCAAAGGAACCCGTATATCCGTTCTTTTCCCAAACCCACGCAACCCCCCAAAAGTTTACTTGAGCACACGTGGCGGTTATGTAACGTAAACGCACACACAGGGACACAGTCAAGAGACACACTCTCTTTGCCAGACATTCCTCACTTTGGGTGGACCCTCTTCCCCTCTATTATAACCCCGCGCCACCCCACCCCACCGCACTGCAGCCGCCGCTACTCCTCGCTCTTTGTACAGAATGTTAGGGCTCGTCATGCTGCGTGTTCTCGACAGGTTAAGGACAAAAAAGCGTTACGCTACTGTACTAATTCTTTCTTCCCTTTTTGAAGACCCCCTTTTGACGCGGAGCCCTTGTGGAGGTATGTGAACACCTCACCACCCCCTCCGAACCGTCCCGCATCAGACCCTTCCCTTAAGGCTTCACGAGCTCAGCTATCGTTTGGGAAAAACAGTGAGCAAGGCGCTGGAAACCGGTGGGGCCGCACGGCGTGGGGTTGTCGTGAAGGTCTCCCCCCCCCCATGGGTTGCCCCGTGTACGGCAACCCCCAAGTCAAGCACCTCAGAAAACCCCTCCCCCCTCAACCTCACACCACTTGCGCCCTTGCAAACCCCCTCCGTCCTCCTCCTCCTCCTCCTCCTCCTACTACTACTACCCCGCAGGGCCCAGCCCAGCCCAACAGCAACAGCACTACCAGCAGCAACAGCAGCGGGTTACCACACTGCCCAACAAGGATCAACAGTCCCACGCTGCCCCCCTCCTCTCTCACGTTGTCCGGCCCGGTTTGCGACATCCCTAGCATCCATAAATCGCGCAGGAGCACGTCGTGATGCCAGGCGGGATGAAAAGCCTCATGTCGTCTGCCGTACGAGCCCCCCAGTAGTCGTACCGTGCAGCCCTTGAATAATCGCGTGGGACCACCAACACTAACACACACACACACATGGGGCCTCATTAAACCGCACAGCTGCTGCTCCCAACAGTCGTCGTCGCATTCAGATGTCGAGGAAACGCAGGAAAAAGGTGCAACAAATGCAGCAGCCCTGCACAGCCACCCGACCCCAGCACACATCCCCCTCCTCCTCCTCCCCTCCGCGACATCCCGACCCGGAACGCGTTCCTCCCAAAACCCAGATCCCCCAGCCCCCCAACCCCGGCGCAATCACACGCTCCACCAACACAACCGCTAGGGCCCCACCGCCGCAACCAACTCCTAACTTACCCCGCTACCCCCGATGACGCACACATACACACACAAACATACATGCAGCAGCACGCATACTTGCCAATATCCCCAGATACACCATCGTGGTGGCACCAGGATTCGAACAGCCGTCTCCCAGCTGTGTGCGTCTCTGGTGCACTCATTAGCTGAGTCGCACGCGTCTGTACGTGTGTGTATGTGTATGTATTGAGTGTGTGTGCGGCATGTGCCCTGTGCTGATGGAAGCTCTGCCGGGGGGGTCACTTGAGGTCCTTGCGGCTGTCCAGCGCCGCGTGTGTCGACTTGAGGTGCGCCTTGTACGACTGTATGTCGCCCTGCCACCTGCGCACTTGGCCGCCGCCCACCTCCCAGATCTCGTTGCAGACCTGGCCAATCAAACGGAAGTCGTGGCTCACCAGCACCAGACCACCGTCCCACTCTGCAGTGCAGCCCCGATGGACCAGCCACCGCCACCACCGTAACCAAAGCCACAGCAGTATGAAGAGGTAGAGCGAGAGACGAGAGCGAGAGGCGAGGCGACAAGGAGGCGAGGCGGAGCGGGTGCAGGGCAACAGAGGAAATGAGTGTGTGTGTATGTTGGGAGGGGGGTTGGTTGGGGGTGTTTCTTGGGGTGTGTGAGGGCTGGGTGGGTGCGGGCATGGATTGGGTCCAGCATGGAAGACTACTCGGCGGTACGGCACCGCAACAAAACTCCCCCCAAGTAAAACAAGTACTGGATGACCTCTACAGAACAGATCGGGGAAAGGTACTGGAAGGGGAAGAGGGCGGACAGGGGCTGGAGCACACAGCACTTCCATTCGGCCCGGACACGGGTCGACACGGGCGAAGAGGCCCGGGAGAAAGGGCAGAGACTCAAACACATAACACACACATATGTCTGTGATTCTATGTTATATTTTGGTATACATATTATATTATTTATACATTATATTATATTATACATTACATAAATTATATGCAAGGATATGTAACGAACGCAATCGCCCGTTTTCCGTTGCTGCTGCACTGGCATTCAGGCGCACTCACGCACCGCACCAAACTCCCCCCCTCCTCTTCCCTTTCCCGCGCAACCGCCCCCTCCTCTCCCGCCTTTTTCCTTCTTCCCTCCATCCTCCTCTCACCGTTGATGGCTCGCGCCAGGGAGTCAATGGTCTCAATGTCTAGATGGTTGGTGGGCTCGTCCAGCAGCAGCATGTGCGGGGTGCGGTGCGCCAGCCAGGCGAACACCACACGCGACTTGAGGCCGTCGGAGAGATTCTTGATGGGCAGTGTCTGGGTCTGACCGGTGATGCCGAAACGCCCGATCACGGAGCGCATCTTCTCCTCACCCAGCTCGCGGCCATACTCCTTGAGCTGCGGCAGGATAGGGGTGCGTGTGTGTGTATTTCTGTGTGTGTGTGCGGGGGGGGAGATGCGGAATCCACAGCGAGAGGAAACAGCTTAACTCGTCCCACGCTCGTCCCAACTAACACCCACCCCTGGTGTCGTACCCGCCCCAGCAACTTCCCCCCAGGGGTTCTCCCTCCTTCGTACATTCTGTAACCCTCTTCACCCCCGTCCCTCTGACGGGTGTATAGTCGCGTCCTTGCTTTCGACTCCGGCTGTGCAATCTCCCCTTTTCCACACCACACGTGTAACCTCCCATTTCATCAACCAAACGCAATCCACCTCAACCCCCCACCCCCTCCCTCTCCCCCCCTTTCTCACCATGTACTCCAGGGGCGACAGATCCGGGTCCAGCAGCTCCGTAAGGTGCTGGTGGTACTGCCCGATCCGCAGGTGGTTGTGGCGCTTCACCATGCCGTCCAGGGGCTCCAGTGCCCCCACCATCAGCTTCAGAAGAGTGGACTTGCCGGCACCGTTGGGACCCACAATGGCCACTCTGCAGCCCCGCGACAGGACAGGTGCAGGAGAGGAGTTTAATGGGTTTTAGAGTTTTAGAAGAAGAGAGCGACACGGTGTGTGTGGGGGGGGTTCGCTCTCAGGAGCCGAAGGAGGTGCCGACCCGGCAGGTGGAGAAAGAGGGAGGGGGAGGGGCCAAAAAGAAGCCAGTGTGCGGTGGCGTGGAGGCATTACAGGGGTATCAGGACACAGGTGTACTTGATCGACATCTTTCTACCCTTAGCCGGGCACCCAACACACAACAAAAGCAAAGAGACACACACAGACAGACACACACACACAGACACATGTACAGAAAAAAACACAAGGACACGGCAAGCCCCCCCGGCCCCAACCCCCCACCTGCTGTCCAGATCCACGCCCAGGTCCACGTGGCTGTACAGCACCTTGTCAGGCGAGTAACCGAATGCCACGTCAGTGAACTGCAGTACGGGAGGAGGCAGCTTGCCCACGTTCTCGAAGCGGATGCGGATCACCTTCTCGGACTCCACCTGAGGATCACCCGAGGGGTGGGGAGGGGAGGGGTGGGGAGTGGGCGTGGGCAGGAAAGGGCAGTAGCATGCCTAAATCTTTGTTGGAAGGCAGAGGTCGCAGTCGGATCCAGATTCAGGGGACAAGCGCGCATATGTATGTATGTGTGTATGGGGGGAGAGGGGGGGGGAAAGGTGGTTGAGGGCGGCCGCATGCGCAGGTGAAAGGAGGCATCAACCGGCGAAGGGTGCAGGAGAGGACCGGAGCTAATACCCCGAGAGTCAGATCCCCCCGGGGTTCAGGTCGCCCGGGTTTGGGGCCTGAACAGGCTAAACCAGGGCCACACCCGGAAGCGGTGACGCCGCCAAGCAGCAGCAGCAGCAGCAGCAGCCGGATGAGGATGGAACAGCGGGTAGCAAAAATGGACGACGACGAGGACGAGGAGGATGGCGCAAAACAGCCCAAAGCCCCCATCCCTGGCGCACACCGCCCCTAACCTATCCCCCCCTCCAAACCCCTTTACACCGGGATAAAAGCCATGAAACCAACCTGACAACACACACACACACATCACCTTCCAAAACACACACAGCCAAGTCCACGCCTAGGCCTAGGCCCCCAAAATGAACACGGCCCCAATGTGAGGATGCGAAACAAACAGCGAACACACTTGTCGCAACAATCACATCTCCTCCCTCCAGGCGCCCCCTCCCCTCTCCCCTTCCCTCCCTCCTCCCCCAACCCAGGCGCCTTCTCCCGCCCGCCTGCTCACCTTTTCCGTAAGTCCTCCTCGCACCATCTTAGCCAACGTCTTCTCCTTGCTCTGCGCCTGTCGGGCCAGCTTGGCCGAGCCGTGTCCGAACCGCGCTATGTACTCCTTCATGTTGGAGATCTGCTCCTGCTCCCACTTGTATCGCTTCATCTGGTTCTCCTCCAACTCGGCGCGGGTCTGAACGTACTGGTCGTAGTTGCCTGCAATTTTTTTGGGGGGGGAGAAGAGAGCAAAGTAACCGGAGGAGGGGCCCACGGGTCGGTGTGGGGTCGGGTGTGACAGAAAGAAAAACAGAGGTGTTTTCAATACCAATACCATCACATCGTTTATTTCTTTACAAGAGCCCTCCCCCCCCTGCAGAGAGAGGTCATCACGGCCATCGCAATGCGGGTTCCGGAGCGTTGTTGCGCTGTTCGGGGGTGATGATGATGATGATGATGATGATGATGATGATGATGATGATGATGATGATGATGATGATGATGATGATGATGAAGCAGCTGCAGCAGATGGTTGTGGGGTGCTGGTGCTGGTGTTGTTTATTGAACGGAGGTGGTGGCTGAGGGAGGAGGAGGTGGCGGAGGAGGAGGTGAACAACAGCGCCAGACAAAATGTCACGCAACATGCATACATGCAAGAAGAATGCTCATACCGCCTCGTAGTAGTAGTAGTCGTAGTAGTAGAGGTGTAGCGGGGCTCAAGAACGAGACAAGGAAGATACCTGGACGCGATGTGCCGCCGAATGGTGCACACATCTCGACAGTGGGAGGATGCTCGAAGTAGAGAGAGAGAGAGTCAGTGTGCACCGGCGGCGAGGCGGATGGTAACAAGTGATTCCCGATGCCCCACCAGCCCTTCCCCTGTCGTTTATGTCGTCGTCATCACCTTTGTGTTTTCCCCTCCTCCCCCCCCCCGCGTCTTTCCGATGTTCCCCCGGGTCCCCCCCCCCGGAAGACCCGCACCCCCCACCCCGGGATGCTGACGGCCCCCATCTACGGGACGTGGGGATGGCGGCGGTTGGAGGAGTAACATTTGGGGGCGCACGCACATCACTCTCACCCTCTCACTCTTACCTGTGTAGTACACCAGCTTCTTCTTTTGCATGTGGACGATGTTGGTGCAGACGCCGTTCAGGAAGTCCTGGCTGTGGCTCACCATCAGCAGGATGCGTTTGAACTGCCCGAGGGGGGGGATTGGAGGAACGAGGTAAGGAGGGGTTAGGGATGGCAGGCAGGTAATAACTCGGGGCGGGCGGCGGGCGGGCGGCGTGGGGGTGAGGGACACTGCTCTAACAGGTTGTAGGGTAGAGGGACTCGCTGTGGGTGGGTACGGGACGTGCGGGGAAAGATCAGCTCCTCAAAGGTTAGCAATAGCATGGAAGAGTAGGGAGCGCTGAGAGAAGCAAACGGCGCTGTGGAAAGGCCTGGGAAAGCAAAGGACGACGGATTCACGACGGCTGCCCTTCCTTGGAAGTGCCCCAGCGACTTCTTAAACCGCGGGTTAGCGCCCTTTGCAGCACTGTTCACACATCCCCTCCCGAGCCCCCCTCCTCCCCGCTGCAGATTTCCCCCCTGTGCAAGTAAAACACACAGACAGA